AGTTAGTGCTTTAGAGTTAGGGGACCTAAATATTAAAGTTAGTGCTTTAGAGTTAGGGGACCTAAATATTAAAGTTAGTGCTTTAGGGTTAGTGCAACTAGTTTGTAGATTAGTGCTGCTCACCACTGGCTAAAATACCATTTTTAGACATAATTTGCTGAAATAGACGACAGATCTACAGATAAAGTCAGTCTAAGTAGAAAATGGCGGCCACGTGGAAAGTCCTTTCATAGTTCAGTAGTACTGCTCTGTCCTGGTCACATGAGCCCAGCTGTTGGTCCTGGTCTCCACAGGAACGCTCTGTGTGGGAAGCTGCAGTGCTCCAACGTTCAGAAGGTGACGGTCTTCAACATCGAGCCGTCCATCATCATCACGCCCATCGCCGGCGCCAAGTGTTACGGCGTGGACTTCATGCTGGGCTCAGACGTCCCCGACCCGGGCATGGTGAACGAGGGGACAAAGTGTGGAGAAGACAAGGTGAGGAGGAGGAGGAGGAGGAGCAGGTGCTGAAGCATCATTTAATTGTGTTTGGTGCCTTCAGGTGTGTATGAACTTTGAGTGTCGCAGCGTTGAAGTCCTGAACTACGACTGTGACGTGAAGAAGAAATGCCACGGACACGGGGTAAGAGCCGAGTGTCGTACCTGTCTGTCAGGTGTGTCACCTGGTCCCAGTCTGACCCCAGTCTGACCCGTCTGCATGTCTCAGGTGTGCAACAGCAACAAGAACTGTCACTGCGAGAGCGGCTGGGCTCCGCCCTTCTGCCAGCTCTCGGGTTACGGAGGCAGTGTGGACAGTGGACCCACGTGGAACGGTACTGCTCAGACTCACACCTGCGGGCCGCTCACCTGCCCGCCGCTGACTCTGCTTGTCCTCCGCAGATAAGGACACGTCTCTCAGGGACGGCCTGCTCGTCTTCTTCTTCTTCATTCTTCCTCTGCTCGCTCTGGGAGCGTTTGTTTTCTTACGCAGGAACGAGCTGCTGCAGAGGCTGGGGCTGAGCCGCAGGAAGAGGTCGCAGGAATACCAGTGAGTGACACATGTGATCGACCTTATTTAGCCCCGCCCCCTTTTTTTTAAAAACTACAATATGTCCTCACTGCTCGGTCACAACAGCTTTAACCCACAAATACACCCTGCTCACCTGTTACCTGTTCACTGACCTGATGTGTGTGTGGCGTTCACTGACCTGATGTTAGTGTGGCGTTCACTGACCTGATGTTAGTGTGGTGTTCACTGACCTGATGTTAGTGTGGCGTTCACTGACCTGATGTTAGTGTGGCGTTCACTGACCTGATGTGTGTGTGGCGTTCACTGACCTGATGTGTGTGTGGCGTTCACTGACCTGATGTGTATGTGGCGTTCACTGACCTGATGTTAGCGTGGCGTTCACTGACCTGATGTTAGCGTGGCGTTCACTGACCTGATGTTAGCGTGGCGTTCACTGACCTGATGTGTGGGTGGCGTTCACTGACCTGATGTGTGTGTGGCGTTCACTGACCTGATGTGTGTGTGGCGTTCACTGACCTGATGTTAGCGTGGTGTTCACTGACCTGATGTTAGCGTGGTTTTCACTGACCTGATGTGTGGTGTTCACTGACCTGATGTGTGGCGTTCACTGACCTGATGTGTGGCGTTCACTGACCTGATGTGTGTGTGGCGTTCACTGACCTGATGTTAGCGTGGTGTTCACTGACCTGATGTGTGTGTGGCGTTCACTGACCTGATGTGTGTGTGGTGTTCACTGACCTGATGTGTGGCGTTCACTGACCAGATGTGTGTGTGGCGTTCACTGACCTGATGTGTGTGTCTTCAGGGCGGACGAGGCGGCTTCAGCCAATCGCAGCAGAGGACCTCCTCCCAGAACGCAGCCTCCAGTTGTCGCTCGCAGCAACATGAACAACATCGTCAGAGACGGGGTGAGTCTGAAACCAGATCCTGGTCACAAAGTTCTGCTGCAGGTTTCTGATCGAACATAAAGATTTAAAAAACTAACTATGATGATGATGATGATGATGATGATGATGATCAGGAGGCGGAGCTACAATTTGTTTAGTTTAAAGTTGTTTTCCTCGTTAAACTGACGTTTTATCATGAATCAGCTGATCGATAACTGCTGAATCACTTGTTACACAACATTTAATCAACTAATGGAGTCGTTAATGAATCAGCTGATTGATGTCTGTGTGTGTGTGTGTGTGTGTGTGTGTGTGTGTGTGTGTGTGTGTGTGTGAACACTTCATCTGACTAAAACATGATTTATTTCACTAACTCTTCTTTCTAACTGTAGCATCACGCTCAGCTGCTGCCGCATGAGGTAAACTAACACCACTGTACGACAATAACTGTAAAATATCATAACTACACAAGAAATAACTGTAAAATATCATAACTACACAACAAATAACTGTAAAATATCACCACTGCTCTGATGAAACTGTAAAATATTTTCACACCATGTTTTCAGGAATAAAAAACGAATGAATCATTAATTTGTTTTCAGGGGGCGGAGCCCAACAGGACGCCTTCATCTCACATTCTGAGACCGCCTCCTCCTCCTCTGTAAGATCCTGTCCTGATTACACCTGAATGCACCATGTGACCTTGTGTCTACTGAAATATTTGTTTGTTTTCCATGTTTGTCACCTTCAGAAAACCCAAACCTTCTGCTGCATCTCAGCCTCTGGTGCCTCAAAGATCCGCCCCCGCTCCACCTGTGTAACCAATCAGGGGCCTTCTTCTCTTCACCCTCCCTCCTCTTCCTCTCCTTCTCGCCTTCTTCCTCCCTGAACTTCAGCCGCCGCTCCGTCAGAGCCGGTGTCCTTACCAACAGGATCCACGAGCCAGGTCAGAGGAGGAACAAGAAGGTAGCAGGACTGAAACTGAGCAGCTGCTCCTCGTTACTCCTCCTCCTCCTCCTCCTCCTCATCCCTGCCAGGTGACCTGGTCTGTAACTGAACCAGCCAATCAGAACTCAGAACAGCCAGACAAACACCAGAAACTCCTCCTACTGTTGGTGAACAAAAACTATTTCATATGAAGTGTTTAGCATGCTAGGTGGCTAATGATCACTTAATAAAACATTACAGGAATAAATATTTAAAAACAACAACAAAAAAGCAGAAATCAATAAGTTCACATTATTTACAGTTCAATCATTTTATATAAAAAAACGCTGTCTCATTAAAGAACCCTTTTATTACGCCCACTTTTCTCTGATTGGACAGTTTCCTGAAGCATCTGCCTTGTTTCTGAGCTGTGACACAAACTGAAGTTAAACTCTACAGGAAGCTTTTAATTTGAAAAGCCCCACAGGTGAGCAAATAAATGTAGTTTGGTCAGCAGGGGGCGTTGCAGACTAATAACTGCTTTATCAGAGTCAGCAGTTAGTCGTGTTCACCTGTCAGCAACAAGAAAAACCACTCTGATTGGCTGGTCCAGGGGGGGGGGCGGAGCCTGCACCTGCTCACTTCTGTTTGACTGAAAGCACTGGTGTCAGTTCTGCTCAGCACTGTCATAGGAATGTAACCACCCCGAGCTGCAGCCGGAGGCTGCTCTGTACCTCCTGCACTGCCCGGCTTTTGTTTTGTTTTTTGTTTTTATTTGTTTTGTTTCCTGAATTGTAAAAAAAACCCGCCCGTATGCAAACAGCGTCTGAGCGCACGGACCTGTGTAGACTTTTAGTTTCACGTGGTACGTCATGTTTCTGCAGAGACTGTTTGCACGTTTCCGGGTCAGATCCGTTTCACTGCAGGGATTTTTTGCTACTTCTTCACCGAGTAAACCAAATGTTTCTGCTCCCGTCACCGGACCTGGACCTGCACTGTTACACCAGGACGACGCCACGTTTTACCTGCAGGATCTGATTTTTAATTCGTTGTTTTTGAGTGTTTTTGCACAGGAACAGGAGGACTCTTAGAGCCAGCTTTGTGCCATTTAATAGTTTTTGTTTTTTTATGCCAGGATGAGGAAGAAAGAAATCAATAAAAATGACTGAAACTGTGCAGATCTCACGATGAGACTCAAACCACTCTGAGGACGGAAACCATCCAACACAAAAACAGAAACAAGGTTAACTAATAGCTGTGGCGGCCATCTTGAATTGGCCTGAATCCACTTGTAGACACAAAATCTGTCCACTGATTGTTGAGATATTTTGCTAACTGGTTAGCTTTTGAAGTCAAACTAAATTCAAAATGGCTGCTGCTGCCAGCTGACCTTCAAAGTAAGATGCAGCTTTGTTTTTGTGAAGGTCAGCTGGCTGCAGCCAGCTGACCTTCACAAAAACAAAGCTGCATCTTACTTTGAAACTAAGATTTAAGCAAATATTAAAGTTTGGGTTAAAGTTTCTGTGACACACCTACCCTTCAAATACAAAAAGTCAAAGAAAGCATCTTTATACTTAAGAAAATCTGCATAATACACATGATTTTTCCCATTTTGTCTCATAAATGGCCTATTTTCTTTTAGATTTGTCTCAGTCAAAGTGAAACAGGAAGTGACATCAAAGGGGAAATCTTTAATAAAATAAACTCGTTGTTTATTAAAACAAAATTATTTAAACTTTAACTCTTATTCGTCAGTAGCGACTAAAAATAATCTAAAACATCAGATTCTTCTCTACAGTTTTTGTTTTTGTAACAACACTGTTTACATCCAGACATTCCCCTATGACATCACTTCCTGTTTCCTCACACGCAAATATCTCAACAACCGTTCATCTCAACGACATGAAATTTGTTTTGCAGCATGTTCTCAATGCTACCTTTCCAAAAATGCATTCATGTTTATTACAAAAATCTGATGTCACAGGCCCTTTAAAGTGTTTTCAGATTTAATATAATAAGTCTAAAACGTTTTTCTTGTGTTTTAAAGATTAAACACATTGAAACTCAAGAGGTTTGAGTCTGAACGTAAGATTTGTTTAAAGATAACTTTAATAATAATCACCAGGCCGGTTCGTTACTTCCTGTTTAGATATCAGGAGTTTATGGCACGTTTTTAACGCCCTGAGTTTAGTCTCATAGGCAAGGAGGATCCTGCCAACGTGAGCAGTGTTGGGAACAGGGGAAATATATATATATATTTAGTTGATTTTTATACAGATTTCACTCTAAATACTTTATGTTATTCACATTTCATCATGTCGAGGAATGAAATAATAATGCCAAGTTTGGTCCGAGTACACTTCGATGGCAGTACTACAGTATTTGACTGGTACAATACACCGAGCTGCTGTTTCTGCAGCCTGAGAGGTAAAACTCAGGGCAAAATCAGCCTCTTCTCCCAGCAGCCCTTTCTTTATGCTCCTAAAACCTCATATCTTCTGTCACTGAAGGGTTTTTAATAGGATGAACTGTTTGTTGCAGATGTAATTCTGTGTCTGTGGTAATCAAATTATTTTATTTGTTGGTTTGAACTTTTTTTTTTCGTATGACGGAATCGAGTCGAGCCTGACTGACGGTTATAATGTCAAACTTTAAATGATGTTACTCCTGAGGATGACCCTGTAATTCTGATTTCAAAACCGTTTCCGGTAAATATAGCAACAGCGATGACTGACGGGGTGTTTTGTTTCAACCAATAATTTAATAAAGTTTATTCAAACTGATTGTAGCTGTTTGTTTGAAGTATCACTTAAAATGTGAACAAAGAAACGTGTTAAAGAAGCTAAAACTCAAATAACATTTGAACCAAACAGAAGTTTAAGTTTCATCGGATCTGCGGCCGTATGTCTTGGACACTCGGGTGAAGAGAGGGGCGGAGCTGTCAACTGACCACTACCTGGTGGTGAGTTGGCTCTGGTGGTGGGGGAGGAAGCCGGTCAGACCTGGCAGGCCCAAACG